TTTCAGGAGGGCCTTTAGGACCTTTCAGCAGCTTTTTTGTAATTTGATCATACTCATACTCACGACTCTTTCCCATCACTTGCTGAAACAAATTCGCAACTGAGTTAGTGCTTGCATCGTCTAATGTTTCGCGTTGAATCAACGCCTTTAACTTCTTGCCTTGAACGAAATCGCTCTTAGACATCGTTTGTATTAGCGATCATATTCTTTTTGCTTTGTCTGATTATCGGAGAAAAAGCCACTCATGATTGGTTTCGTTTAGGTGACGTATATTGAAGATGATTGAAAAAATGTGGTTAAATAGAATTACATTGAATTACATAGTTTATGCGATTATATTGATGATGATTATATTACACCGATAAAAAAAATAAAGCATCATGAGCGAAAAAAGAATTATTAAATTGTCTAGAACGACGGACGATCAACTCATGAAACTCGCTGATTCTCTTAGAGTCAAAGTAGATCAAATTGATTTCAAACAGATTTTAGACAAAAACAAAGACTATTGCATAATCAACATGGGGAATCCGATGATCGGCGGTACTCATTGGTTAGCTGTATCAAACAAAGACAAGGTCTATTTTGACCCTTTGAATCTTCCACGGCCTAAAGTGATTCCAAAAGACTATTCATATCGCAAAATAGGAGTTCAAACCCTCGTTTTGGTCACTGTGGTGGTTTCGCAGTGTTGTTCTTGTACTATCTACAGCATGGGAAAGTGGATGACTTCTACAAGCTCTTCAAACAACACTTTTGATCTTGAGCGAAAAGGTATCATTATATAGCCACAATGATCGGACGCGTCTATAAAATTGTTCATTCACAAAGCGACATATGCTATGTTGGATCAACAATTAATGAGCTGCGAGTTCGTTGGAAAAACCATAAGGCGTCAAATAACACCTGCGCAATCGCCGATCACATTAAGGAACATGAAGCTGATCAATTCAAATGATTCTAATCAAAGAATATGAAGTTGTTGATCGCAAGCATTTGCTGGCATATGAGGCGCTTTGGATGTCTAAATTAAAATGCATCAACAAGCAAGCTGCATTTAATCCACTATATACAAACAAACAAGCAAGCAAACAGTCTATATCACAAGCAAAACAAGATTAAGCACGAAGCTGAACGTGAAGCCAAAACTCATTGCTCAGTTTGTAAATACGATATTGTCAAACGCGAATTTCAACGTCACAATCGGTCCGCTCGTCATCAAGCAAATCTAATTCAATATCATGAGCCAACTCGTGAAAAGAAATCCCGCTGCGACTTATGCAATGTTGAAGTGACACTTTTGAATCGTCATAATAGATCAGCAATGCATCAAGCAAACATGAGCTCATGATTCCGCTCGATTCTTTTTTTCGTCGTTGTAATATACGCAGAGCCACGCAATGGATGTCCAGTATATCGACGAGCAAGAGCTAAACCCTGTTAATATCGATGATGGATACTACTCAGTGCCTGAAAAGTCAAAGCCTCAATTTGTAGTTCAGCGGAAAATAACACTACAGGACTATCAACGCATCGCCAAGAATACTTTCCGGCCAAAGCGTGGATAGTTGAAATAGCATCGCTTGCGCGGTTGCGCGCTAAGTATCAACAAGATCATACTAATTTTTTTATGCTGCCTTCCGGGGACAGCGTACCCTGAAGTCACATTAGCGGATTGTCGTTCGAGTGTTGCTCTCGATGTCGATTTCGAGTGAGTCACCACTGAGTCACCACTGATTCACCACTATGGTGACTCATCTACGTATTTCATTTTGATGTCTATTCATTCTCAAAGTCATTGTCTATTTTACTGAGTCACCTGAGTCACCACTTTTTATCAATAATCAGTATATTACTATAATTAGGTGTAGTATGATAGAGGACATACATGATTTAGTAGTGACTGTAAATGAGTAGGAGGAAGTTACAAAAAGTGGTGACTCAGTGACTCATGCTGACTCTTATACCTAGAGTTACTCTGGTTGGCTGTCACTGAGTGGAAGGTGGTGACTCAGGTGACTAAGTGGTGACTCACTCACTTTTGTGAGTACCGGTTTTATTTTCTGATTGGTACATACTGGTTTTGTTCGGTAGTGGTTGGTTCGTATTGTAGGGTGACTTTAATTCATTTAGTCACTAAACCAGAGCTGTATATCATCAAGTGTTCTGAGGGACACTGCGAAGGCATCTCCCAGTATCAAAAAACACTGTTTGTGTTGATGGTGATAGGAATGATGTCAATGGCATCATCGATTTGAGGAGGTA